GTGTGTGCCTAAGATCCTGAGAGGAGAATGGAGGAGAAGGGATTGCGGCGTGGCCATCCCCCCTGGGGGGGGGTGATTTCTCGCTTTCCGTCTCTCTGTCTCTCTCTGTCTCTCTGGCAAGCGCATGCATCCTATAGCAAAAACCTCTCAAAAAAATTTTTTTAAAGTAAATTTGACCAGAGAGAGTAAAAGTGAGAAAACAAACTGCCAGGCCCAGGACTCAAACTGCAGTCAGCCATGTGGGAGTCCAGTACCATTAACTACCACACCACCTATTGGTCCCGGTTGCAAGGTTTTGGTGGTGGAGTAGTGGTTGAGTCCAGAGGCATACAGATAATCCTGGTATCTGTATTTGAAGCTGTCATTGGGGGCATCTACATGTTCTCCAGTATTAAGGAATTATTGTCAATGTTGAAAGATACAATAATAATACTGTATTTTTGCACATTTCTCATCTATTAATGATATATACAAATGTTTTTAGGAATTATGTGATGTAATTATTATTATTATTTTTAAATTATGTTTTGGGGTCAGACAATGGCGTGGTGGTTAAGGCAGCTGGGTTCCACAAGGCCGACTCTGATTCGAGTCCTGGACCCAGTGACAAGAATCACACTGGGTGCATGTGCATGTGCTTCCAAAATCCCAAGCGGAGAATGGAGGAGAAGGGATTGCAGTGGGGCCATCCCCCCGGGGATGTTTCTCATTATCCTTCTCTTTCTCTCTCTGGTAATTACACATGCCCTAACAAAACTAAATAAATTTGTTTTAAAAAATTAAAATACCTACTTCTTCCTTCAATAAGAAGTAGGCAGTCACTCTGTAGCTTGACTCAGAGAGGATACCTAAGAACAGAGGAATAAATACTGGATTTGGTCAGTTGGAATATTGATGATGTTGGTCAGGGCAGTCTCATTGGAGTGAGGAGGATAGAAGACCCACTGGAATGAACCAAAGAGAAAACAGAAAATTACCTGTTGATGATAATACATAATATTTGTCTGGATCAATATACAGAGTATTCAGGATAGGAAATGCATTTGGCATTGTGTAATGATACACAGTGATTGAATGTAAAATAATAAATGAAAAATAAAGATAGTTTTAAAAAGAATTATTTATTTAATTTTATTTATTCATTCATTTATTTTCGTTTGACCAGAGAGAGACAGAGAGAGAGAGAGGGAAAGTGAGAAAGCAAGCCACCAGGTCCAGGACTCAAACTGTGGTCAGCCCTTTGGGAGTATCCAGCGCCTTAACCACCACGCCACCTGCTGGTCCCCACAAAAAAATCATTTTAAACAATACAATACAGAGACCTTGAAAATAAAACACGCCACCCAAAACCTAGAATATATGTTCCATAGCTGCCAGGAGGAAATCTTCTGGACCAGAATGCTAGACTACTCTACCTGGAGGCCTCTTTATGGGAAACTTCTGACTAGAACCACAAACTGTGCTAACCAGACGCCTGCAGAAAAAAAATCCCTTCTGACCAGAATGCCAAAATACATATCCCAAAATAACTTGGAGAAGTACTTCTGGCCTAAAACACTAGACACCAAAACCTAAAGGTTTCAGGGAACGAGAATTCCATAGACGGGCAAAGACTCCAATACCCAGAAGACACTGCGAGGGAAAAAGTCGGCCTTCGGAAAAGACTTCTGGGGCGAGATTCACAGTACACTACCCAGTCGTCTCTAGGAGAAAAGCTTCTAGATAGAAGGATGGAATAAACTCCCTAGACTCTCTGCGGGAAGAGTTCTTGGAAGAAACGCCAACCACCTTACCCAGAGCAGAATGGGAGGAAAACTTCTGGGTAGAGCTAAAGTCTATATAATACTGAAGCCTAGAAAACAAATTTAGGCACCAGAAAGCCGGAGTGGCATGGAAAAAAGCCGGAGTGGCACTTTCCAGAGTGGCAAGGAAGAATTCTGGGCATGGACATCAGATTACATTGCCTAGAAACCTATGGCACATGAATTTTAGACACCACGAAAATATTCAGTTCCTACTGGGGCCAGATGGAAGATCTCTAGGCAGAAACACGAGACTATACCACTCAGAGGCCGCTGAGAAAAAGACTTGTAGGTGCGACCACAAGATCCACTAACCAGTGGCCTCCAGAAACAACACTTCTGGCTACAATGCCAGAGTCCCTGAAGGCAATATTTCTGAAGCTAATGCCAGACCACAAAACCCTGAGGCTTCTGGGAGCAAGACACCCAGGTAGGGCCGAAACTACAACACCCAGAAGACACTGGGGAGGAAGAATTTCAGGGAGAATCAAGAATACTATACAGAGAGGCCTTAAAAAGAAAACATGCAACCAAAAAGCTAAAGTACACTTTCCACAGTTGCCAAGAGGTGGAATTTTGACTGTTAATGCCAGACTACACTAGCTAGAGGCTTCTCGAATAGAGACTACTGGGAAGAGATTCAGACTATCTTCTACTAAGTCTCTGGGAGGAAAACTTCCAGACAGAAGAACAGAATGAACTTCCTAGGCTGATGGGGAAGAGTCTTTGGCTGAAACGCCATAAAACAAACAACAACCAAAAAGCCCACATAAAGCCGAGCTGGTGAAATGCATTGGGAAACTTGCCTGGTGGGGGTATTTAGCTATACCTCTAAGCTGAGACAATGCCTGGGGACAGTTAAGCTTTGCTCCCGCCGTCCCACTCTTCTGCAGGCACAGAATAGGGAGGTGGCTGGGTCTGTCCCCTACCTATCTGGAGGGAGAACACGCTGCTTGAACGTGACAGCGGGAGGGACTGACTGAAGAGGAAGCAGAAGTAAGAATGAGGGAGATGGGCTGAGTCTTCGAGGCCGGTGATAGGGCGGAGGGGTAGCGGCAGGGAGAACATGGCTTGTGGACACCAAGAGACGCTGCAGACCAGGATAGACCTTTACTGAGGATGGAGGACACAGCGCCCCTTAGGAATTGATGATCTCAATGTGGAACTGCAGGTGGGTGGCCGTGACCACACAGTGGCCCCGGAGGAAAGCGCAGGTCTGGCAGTTGTGGCAGAGCCAGTGGCACCGGATGACATAGATGGCACTGAGCACCTGGCAGTACCGCCAGTACACACGCCACATTCGGACCAGGGACTGGAGCTTGACCACGGCCCCCTCTCTGTCCACGTAGGCAATCAGCGCTGCCCGCCGCTTCTTCTGTAGTAGCCTCATCACCCCCGCCCGCCACCAGCACTGGATGACCCAAGCCCTGAGGGCCGCGTGCAGCAGGGTCCGGCGCACCAGGGTGCCGCGCCACCAGGCCTGGATCTGTACGGCTGCTTCTGTTTCCTCTCTTAGAGCTGCCTAGGCAGAGATAAGAGAAAGCACTCAGAGAACCTCCTGCCACCGACCTCTAGGGTCTTCTGGGGAGGGGCTGGGTTCTCTCCCGTCACTGCCAGCTTTTTCTCAGTGAGTTCAGGGGAGTTACTGGGACACTGACTAGGAGCCAAGAGGCCTAGTGGGGACCCTCCTCTTCTGCCATTTTGGACACATCACAGACATAGTGTCTCTCTCTCTCTCTTTGCTATAAACATGTACACTTGCCAGAGAGAGACAGGGGTGGGAGGAGTGAGAAAGCACCCCTCAGGGGGAATGGCCACCCTGCAATCTCTTCTCTTCCATTCTCTTCTAGGGACTTTTGGGCACACATGTGCACACACTACGTGTGATTTTCTTTTTCTTTTCTTTTTTTTTTTAAGGATTATTTATTTAATTTTATTTATTCATTCATTTATTTTAATTTGACCAGACACACACACACACACACACACA